TAAATTTTTTTAACAAAAACGTATTTCGATAATACGTTTTAAAATTATTTTATTTTTTTAAATTAAAAAGAATTTAATAAACAAAACGTATTTTGATAATACGTTTTATATTTTAAAAATTAATAAATAAAACGTATTTTTTTTTTCCCAAAACGATAGAGGAATTATATAGAAACTCAAAGAGGACAAAGTCCTAATACAATGTCAATATACAATACAAACCGCAATCGAAAAATGAGAGACACACCGCAACGATGGTCTAGAGCCTCTAAAAGAGGAAAGAACTCCCAACAGCAACCAAGAGAAGGAGAAGAGGAAAAAAAGAAAGATACAAGTGCCCTCTACTGCCAAAGCCTAGAAGGGTACATGATCAAAGACTAAACACAAAAGCAGAAAAGCAAAATGACAAAATAAAATTAATCCAACAGACCAAAAGCAGACTGATAATGCATCCAATCGGTTTGTGCCATTTTAATCACTGAAGCTGCTGGCATTAATGAATTTTGGAATATCCATAAGTTCCTTGACTTCCAAAGCCACCAAAGTATACATGTGGAGAGTTGTATTCGAGCTTCGGCAACCTCAGACTTGTCTAAGGAACTAATGTGGCACCACTAGGTTTTGAAAGAATCTCTGAAGTCAGAGATGCCATCCCAAGTCACAGGAGATAATTTCCAGACTCTTACAGCTCTAGAGCAGTTAAGCAGGACATGTTCAATGGTTTCAGTTGCTTCTCCACAAAGAGAGCAGATATGATCTACAGGGACTTTTTTTTTCTTCAGCAAAGTGGCCACAAGTAATGTACCTGCCATACACTTCCAGATGAAGTGTTTTAGCTTCCCAGGCATTTTAATCTTCCAAAATCTGTATTTCACAGCTTTCACAAATGATTGACCATTACTGCATTCAGGGATATCTAATTGAGCAGCTTTGAGTTTAGACAGTTCATTGTATGTACAGGACACAGTGAATTGTCCTTTCTTATGCAGTCCCCACCAACATCTGTCTGATCTGTTTGGATGAAGAGTTTTGATTGTAAGAATAGCATCACTATCTTCTTTATCAAAAACATGTCTAACAAGCCATTCATTCCAGGCAAGGCCATTGTCCTCCAGCAGATCCTTTACCCAGATCAAGTGATTTCTTGCAAGAGGCATAAGAGTAGGAGATTGTTTCTTGAGAGCTGGTACCCAGTTGTAATCTGCTATTTTGGTAGAAGCTCCATTTCTGATCTCTGTGAAGATCCATTTTGCAAAGAAAGGTAATACCTCAAGCCATGAGTTCCACATCCATGATCCATTGTGAGACTTTTCTGCATGAGTGATGGCTGTGTGAGGGAAGTATCTGTCCTTCAGTAACTTACTGACAAGAAGATTTGGATTTGTAGCTATCCTCCA